CCAGCCTTAGCCCTGATATGGGAATGTCAGAAGATTATGACCAAGCCGACCAAACCTACCATCAACCACCATATCACCAAACAACCCAACATCCACAATACCAAACACCCCAAGATCCGTTTCCTTTCTACCCCCCATACTCAGACGACCAATGCTACCGACCAACCATGGAACCCCACCCACCGCCAACACGACCAAACTTTGAGGGCATGGGTAACCGACTGTACCAGAGCGGATCTTCGAGATATGGAGATCTTACTAATTTTATGGATTCGGATCGCATTGAATTTGCTGGGCCATCGACCTTGCCGCAGCAGGAAACGCGACGGCACCCAGCAAGAGAAAGGCGAGGACGGGGATGCGGAACCGGGGGTCATTACCGGGTTCCGGGGGATCACTGATGTATCTTTTTTTTTCCCAGTATTTTTTGTATCCATTTTTTTTACTATTCTTTTAATGTAAAACAGTTGAATGTAAATTTTTTTTTTAAATAAAAAATCCATTTTGTGGATCTCTGTCTAATAGGCAACGCACAGGAAAGAAAATAAAAAAAAATATTTTTTGCCCTAATTTTGTACATAGGCGCCATCTCACTTGGCTTAGGGCATGCCCTAAGCACTTAGGCGCCAAGTGAGATGGCGCCTCCCTTAAAAAAGGAGGTGCATGCGCCAATTGAGATGGCTCCTCCTTTGTGGAGCCATCTCAAACATGGTTATTTGCGTAATTTTTTCCGAAACCCGGTTATTTACGAAATATTTTTTTAATACATGGTTATTAATAAAAAAAATTCTCATTTTATTATTTCATTCATTTAAAATAATCGATTCAGCAGCGAAATAATCAAATTAATTCAATTTCATATCAGTACAACTTCAACAACAAATAAAACTCCATAAATATATGGTCTAATATAAGTATAATGAAAGATACATAACAAATGAAATAATGCAAAAACATAATAAAATTCCGAATTTCCGTGTTACGTACCAGAACGACTTCTAAGATTCGATCATGTAACACTCACTCCAAGGAGCACATACACAACAACACAAAAGGGGTGAGAATTTCATTCAATAAATATACGGTGAATATCACATGTTAAGGAATAGTAATCACACAATTCACACATTACACTATACTTCGCAACATAATCCACCATTTACATAATACACCATCAACACAAAATAATGCAATGCAATGAGACCAACATTAACTAAATACATGTGGTACCATCAGGGCATAAGCCCCTAACATAGTGTCAATTGGACAACACCAGGACATAAGCCCTCAATATGACGCCATTACAGGCCAACAACATGGCATAAGCCCCCACCAATGAAATGTATGCATTATTATCATGCAGCAACACAACTATGTGACAACAAGACATAAGCCTTATACATTCACCAATAAGGTCGCCACGTCATTATCATCATGAAATGAAATTAAGCAATTCAACAAAGTCTCATATGTTATTCCCATTTCCCACTATTACTAGCCTTCCTATACCTACCTAAGTCATACTAGTCCTTAAGAATCAAAGGGAATTGCACTGCACGCGAAAACATGAAAGAAATCGCGAAAACTGAATTTTCTAGATATCAGCCTACCCATACGTGTACATACGCGTTCAACTTCTGTAACGCCCGTATTTTAATTAATTATTTAATTAAATTATTTTTGGATTATTTGTGAAGTTGTGTTATTATGATAGTAATCACACAATTCATACATTACACCATACTTCGCAACATAATCCACCATTCACATAATACACCATCAACTCAAAATAATACAATGCAATGAGACCAACATTAACTAAATGCATGTGGTACCATCATGGCATAAGCCCCTAACATAGTGCCAATTAGACAACACCAGAGCATAAACCCTCAACACGACGCCATTATAGGCCAACAACAGAGCATAAGCCCCCCAATGAAATATACGCATTATTATCATGCAACAACACAGCTATGTGACAACGATGCATAAGCCTTCTACATTCACCAACAGGGCCACCACGTCTGTAACACCCCTTCTAAATACCCAAATTAAAGGTAAAGATTAAAATCAGAGAAATAAAATTGCACGGAAGGGATGCCACAACACACATCACATTCCAAAGTTTTTAAGGAAAAACAGACAGGGTATGTTTGAAAGTATAAGCATTCCAACACAAAACAAACATACTATAAATATTTACTTCATTCTCTCGTGCAAACGCAACGGAGTTTCATAATTTCACATCATCTCCATTTATGGAGGAATCAAAACATAATTCAAGGTATCAAGCCATCATAATTCACATAAGCATATGTTATCAAATCTCACATATACAAAACATCATATACACGAATAAGGATTATATACATCATAATCCAAATACAAAATAATCGAGTTCGACACTAAATAAATTCCCCCCCCCCATGTGTTACTACCAGAGCATCGACTCGACTCTAATCAAAATAAAACAGATTGCAATCCAATGCATCTGTTAGCTAGCGTCTCGCGCTACCGTCCTCGGTACCTGCACAATGCCATCAAAAGCATTGGCCAACAAAAGGGTAAGAATTCCAATAATCATATAACAGGTAATTTTAAGTAAATGAAATGGCAATAAATAAAGCAATACATAATGATCATGTTCATTTTATCACCTGTAGCATCCTTACTCAAGGAATCCATTTCCAACACATTAACCATGTAAACCGATTATCCGAATACTCACATCCTTGGCACATAACCATAATTCAAACAACAACAATATTGGCACATAATCAAACATATCAACACACATACATATCATGCACAATTATACATGTGACTCACAACACGACTCAACGTATGCAAATGCGGGTACCGACTCGTGGACCCAAAGTTCCACCACCTATGTTTCCCTTCCGGATCAAGGTCACTACGTCTTTTCCCACAATAGGGTCACCGTCTAGATATTGTGGACCCAAAGTTCCACCACCTATGTTTCCCTTCCGGATCAAGGTCACTACGTCTTTTCCCACAATAGGGTCACCGTCTAGATATTGTGGACCCAAAGTTCCACCACCTATGTTTCCCTTCCGGATCAAGGTCACTACGTCTTTTCCCACAATAGGGTCACCGTCTAGATATTGTGGACCCAAAGTTCCACCACCTATGTTTCCCTTCCGGATCAAGGTCACTACGTCTTTTCCCACAATAGGGTCACCGTCTAGATATTGTGGACCCAAAGTTCCACCGTATCTGTTTCAAGACCACCATGCCATGCAATGTACAATATAACCAATGCATGCAATTAAGACTCACAATGATCTTAACATACACATGCCATCAAATCCAACCAATGGAACATCAACTATTGTACATGCATGCATACATATAATTTATCAATCTCAACGTCAAGTAAAATGTATACAAACAAGATTACTTACTCAACCAAAACATAAACCATCAACTATCAACAATTCCAAATCGGAAAGTATATTTCAACATAAAGTCATTATCAATGAACCGGCATTATTCTCAATGTTTCTCATCGCGATCGAGTCACCGGAATGTAACTCGAACGGTTAGATTCGGCATTAAACTCAACTTATTTCATTCGCACTAAAATCGGGTCGATTCTTAAAAGTCGAAATTTCGCAAGACGAACTTCACTACGTCAAGCTACACGTCGGATTACACTAGCACGTCAATTTTCTTTGGATTCAGAGCAACTTGCTCCGTCGACGAATCTACCGAAATCGGAACACAAACGGGTTCTAAAGGAAGTGTGAAAATTAGAATTTTGGAGGCTACAAACGCATCAACACGGGCACCCGTGTGCTGCAACACGGCCCGTGTTGAGAGGCCACCAGAACGAGCCAAGAAATGCCAAGTCAGAGCAGCAACACGGGCACCCGTGTGCTGCAACACGGCCCGTGTTGTGAGGCCTGCGTGAAAACTCCACTCTTTTGAGTTTTTCCCATTCAACTACCATGGTTTTCTTTCCCATTTCAATACTCTTAATTTCCACAAGCTAGCACTTAATACACCCACAAACCATACTCCTAATCCAACTTTTCTAAACCATTCTAACAATCAACCAACAAAACCCTAAAAAATCAACTATCAATTTTTACCCCTAATTCCAAAATATATCATACAAAAACCTAACAATATGAGATAGAGAATCAAACCCCTTACCTTGGTGTGGGTTTTCTTGAAACAAGATGATGGAGATGTTGCAACTCCAAGCCTAGCTCTCTTTCTCCTCTTCTCCTCTTTTCTTTCTTCTTTCTCCCCTTTTCTTCCTTCTCTTACTAACTCTCCTTTTCTATTTTATAAAACCCCCTTTCTACTACTAACTTTCCTCCCTCTATCTTTCTAAAATTGTAATTTGGCCCCAACAATTATTTAATTCAAATTATAATATATAACCCTATTAAACAATATTACATTAAATAATATTTATTCTATATAAACCTAATCATGCCAATTAATCAAACAAAGTCAAATATTACTACACACCAAATTAATATTACTCAAAATAGTATTTTATCATTATGAATATTTTTATTTCAAATAACCGAATTAACATTTAATCAAAAACGGGGTGTTACAACGTCATTATCATCATGAAATAAAATTAAGCAATTCAACAAAGTCTCATGTGTTATTCCTATTTCCCACTATTACTAGCCTTCCTATACCTACCTAAATCATACTAGTCCTTAAGAATCAAAGGGAACTGCACTGCACGCGAAAACAGGAAAGAAATCGTGAAAACTGGATTTTCTGCACATTAGCCTGCCCATACGTGTACATACGCGTTCGAATTCTCCCTCGTCCATCTCATACGCGTATCATGCGCATTTCACTCCAACGCCCAATCACATACGCGTATGACCAGAGGGGATTTTCCCCTTCAAAACCCCTCCCAGATCTCCATACGCGTACTGGCTAGTCCATACGCGTATGACCTTCTTCTCATACGCGTTCCATATGCATTCAGGAAGTTGACCATGATGGCTCGGGGACAGGGCACATACCATACGTGTATGGCCCTCTGGGACGTCCCCCATATGCGTATCATACGTGTATGGCCAGTCTGCTACACAAAATTTTCTACAATCGCACCAGTTCGTTTTCTACTCGTTTTGAGTACTTTCAACCTCCGATTTTGGGTCCAAAATAGTGTTTCTACTCCTAACAACATAAAGTCTTCATCTAATTTCATCATCCTATGAATCTACAACAGTCACTACAACATTTGTTGTCTCTGGCAACACTTTTTTAGGTAACATGTAGAAATTGTTGCCTTAAATTCATATAGGCAATGATTTACGATTGTTGTCAAAAATATGTTTGCAACCCTTGATAATCGTCGCCTAAAATATTTTTGGGGACGTTTATGGAGCGATACTCTTTTATTTTTTTGCCAACGGTTGTTAATTGTGCCCTTAACTGCTTTTGGGGACGATTTTAGAGCGTTAAAATATTATTTCTTTAGCAATGTTTGACAATTGTCCCCTAAAATATTTTTGGGGACATTTTTAGATTGTTACATTAGTTCTAATAAAAGGCTACATTTCTGAAATGTTGTATAATTTTTTTTAGAATTATCAAATTTTTGGTGGCAATCTTCTCTCTAAAACTTATACACTAAAAAACAAATATTTTTCTCTAAACATTATTAATATATATAATTTTTTTTTTCTAACACAGGAATTTAAAAATAAAAAATTTCAATTAAACAGAAAATAAAAAATTATATATATATATATATATATATATATATATATATATATATATATATATATATATATATATATATATATATATATATATATATATATATATATATATATATATATATATATATTTATTAGTCTAAAACTTATATATATTTCAATTAAACAAGAATTTTTCTATTTTTAATAGAATCTTTTTTCTTTGTTATCACACAACAAGAACCCACAACTGAGTAATCCACACCAATCTCCCTCTTCTCTCTTCCTAACACCCAATCAACAAAAACAGTAACCACCCCTCTTCTTAATCATTTCTCTTCTTCTACACAACAAACAATAACAACACATCATACCATCACTCCCCATCAAAACCTAACACGAATCAACATACTCCCTTTCGTTTCCCCTTCTACTCACAGCGTCGTTACCCTTCACACATCACTGTAACCCCCTTTCTTCTATCTTCCGCTCACGAATCCCTCCACCATCGATTTCCACCCTTACGAACAATTGCAACAAACAACAATCTACCATCGTTAAGGAACCGGTTGGGATTGTATATTCAGATAACTCTTCAAACAGTAATAATTTGCTTCGAGGTATGTTCTCGGTTCTTCCTTTGGTTTGATTATTTTTGTTAGAAAGAGTAAAGAAACAATAAACGGAAATAATGAACAACCGATGAGCCATACTCGATAATTTTCCCCTACCATTTTCTTTCGGGGTTCTGTTTGTTGCTTTTTAATTACTGTCTATTCTAATTGTTTGGTTGACCTAGATTTGTACTTTGTGAAAACAGGGGAACGTGTAGTATCCAGGGTATTGTCAACTACGAATGAGGAAGGTCGAGTTAAAGGGGAGAACTCCATCGAACATGTCACATATGAGGAAGTTTGCTATATGGAGGAAGGTGAATCTTCTGCGTCTTGTCTACTTGGAAGTTGCAATGATCTATGAAATATCGCTGCAGCTTCTCTTTCATTTACTTTGTGGTGATAGATGGTTAACCTGGACAGTCTTTCTTATTTCTGCCTTGTACTTATTAAATGTTTTTAGATTATTTTGCATGCTGAGGCATTTCCCAATTGAATCTAAAGGGAGAAGAAAGAAACTTCATGAGGTATGAGCTCTTTCTTCTCAGTGTGTCTATTTGATAGAAAGGGGCTTAATTTCTTGCATTTGTAGTAAGTCCAAAATCACTTCCAGTTAACTCAAAATGAAAGATAGCTACTTAACTGTCTGTTGGGACCGTGAACGAGAAGACCACTATCTAAATTCTCCAATCCCATAACATGTTTCTCTCTTGCCTTTGTTCATCGTCATACTTATAGGATAAACCATGTGAACCCTTTACCTCCGTTACCCGTTTCTTTATCTCATGTCTAGTTTTTCCTCTGTGAAATTCAAAATATGACTCACTGCTGAATCTTCAAGCAAATGATGGGCAGGAATGAGTCATGCATTTGTGTAATCAGCTTTGTCTAGCCTGCCCGTTTTCTGATTAGCAACTCTATATTAAATGTTGTAGTTTGGGTCTATAACCCCTTTCTACTTTTTCATCTTCTGTTCTGTTACAAACATATAACAAAATGCATTGTCATTTCAATATTACTTGTATTTACGGAACACGGGATGTGTATTACAGGTCGGATCTGTTACAGCCATCTGTTTCACCTGCTTTCTAATAAGATGTGTTATGGTAATTTCTTTGCCTTTGTTATGATAGCTATCTTTTTAGTGTTTCATTAAACATTTTTTTAAGCTTGTATGCGTATGTCATTGAATATAGATAATTATTTTAGTTATTTTAATCGAGAAGCTTTGATGAGTTTCGGAATCCTAAGTTTCGGTATCCTAAGTATTTATCTATGTTGAACCATCTCCGCTTCTACTTGCCCGAAATATTTCCTTCGCCCCTCGATTTTACTTATCCAAAATTGACGGAATTTTGTTCTTAAGGTCTTCTGTTGCTGCTAAAGCTCCACATTGGTTGAATGCTGCTATTAGCAACTTCAAACATGATTTCATGGAAAGTAGTTCTTCTGGTGGAAAGGTAAGAAACTCAAAACTCAAAACTTGTGCTTAGTGAGTGCTATTTTGCATGATTTATTGGTTGTTTTCAATAACTAATGATGATGCCGATTTCAACAACTTATGTTCGTAAAAAGTCATGGAAGAGTTGTACTGCTCATGTTCACATCTCGTCGTATATCAAATTACAATTTTTTTTATAATTTCTTTTATACTGAGAACTATCTTATTTGAAATTAATGCCTTAAAAATGGTGTTTGGACTTGGGATCACACTGCATTTTAATTGCTTGACTTCAACAAGTTATCATGGTTCAAAATCAATTCTTAGATATTAAAGAATGCTTTGCATGTATATTCATTTTCGCTTATATCTCATATTGGATTTGCTGGAAAATTTGCAATCGGCTATTAGTAACATCGTTACTGTTAGAACTGAGTGGAAATGTTATCATATTGTAGCTATAATTTGTTTTTGGCTTGTGAATCTTACAATGTTGTATTGTATATGATATAGGAATTTGACATCAAAACCTCATTTTTGTAGGAATAGTTATTTCTTAAAGATGGGGAGTTTGGTTGGAAAAGAGTACTCAAGTAGCATTGTTCCAGAAAAAATCTCACAAGTCAGTACAATTTTTAAGCAACCACCACAACACGATATTCCTATCTTTCTTTGAGTAGGAACCGAAACTCATTACAACTTTGTTAAAAAATTATGAATGTTTTGTTTATTTATTAAACAATTATATTTTGGAAACAACACTAATATACCGTTAGATCTTAGTAGATAGTTTATTAGTATTCTATTTTATGCAGATTTAAGTCATCAACTACACCAAGTAGCATATTTTTCTGCAATTTACAATGATTCAATTTTGGTTGAAAATGAATCAGCTGCACAATTGGATCTAAAGTGCTTCAAGCTTCTGTTAGACACATCATTGCTAACTGAAGTGGTGAAATGAATCAACTCCGCCAATTTCTCTTAACTCATGATTTGCGCAGCCTGTATCATATGGTGAGGATTTGGTTCTAAATTTTATTATGCTAATGGTAATATGTTTATGTACAAGTTGGTTAGTTGTACTATCTTTTAAATAACTCATTTATGCATTCAAGCAGGTTATCCTTGCATATGACGCTGAAAGCGACAAAAATCTTGGTATTTCCGGAGAGGGAGAGAAGTGAGAGAGAATATTCAAAAAGAGAGTCTGAATGCTGAGGTTATTCTATTGGAGATTGATCTTAGCTCTTTTTATTTTGTACAAATATTTAAATCTTCCACTTAATATTCTAATGTAAGTTCTCTTATATGTTTTAATTATTAATTATCATTTTGAAAGAAAAAGGGAAAAAATATAATCATGTTTTCATATCCAATAACCATAACATATAATACTTAGGTGGTGAAATATGAAGACCTAGAAAAACAAATTGGAAAGGATATAACTTTTGATCTTGTGGCCCTTGACAAGGTGAAAAGTTTCCATGTTACAAAGGTTACATCATTTAATTATTTTAAGGTATCATCATCACCATCTTTATCAGCCACATTATTATTTAATTATTTATATGAAATTCACCCCATTTATTAGATCCATTAGATATATCATAGTTTAATATCATATATCTTTTGATTTGGTCAATAGTGGTGTGAAAATTTTGATATGTTGCACTAAAAACTTTAAATATATAATTATATAAAAATCAGATGCTTTAGTTGGAAAGAGTAAAAATTTTCATCTGAATCTTCCAGGTTTTTATGCCTTTAATTATGTAATTTATAGTGTATGGTTTGATTTTCCTGTCTTATTGTTACTATGTAGAAAAATCTAGCTACTATGTTTGGCATACCAGCTCAATTCCAGCGTTTGGGTTTTTGCATGGCAGAAAAACCTGACCTTTCATCCATCTCGGCCATTGACATGCATCGAGGAATCAGGATATGTAAATTCATAATATCTTTTGTAGCTTTTTCTCTCATTTATTTTTTATATTAAGTGTGTTGTGACTTTTTATGTAATTACTGGCATAATTGGTTGCTTTAGTTGTCCTTTGGACCAAAAATACTTATGGTTAATGTGTTTTGGACCAAAAATACTTGTGGTTAATGTGTTTTATTTTATTTTCTTATGCAGCAATGTATCAATGAAGATGTTGAAAAGGATGATATAAATGATGAAATTCAAGAGGACGACATAAATGATAAAATTCAAGAGGACGACCTAAATGATAAAATTCAAGAGGACGACGTAGATGACGAATTTCAAGAGGACGACATAGATCTAGATGATGAATTTCAAGAGGAGGATATAGATAGTGAATTTCAAGAGGACGACGTAGATGAAGAATTTATGGAGGATGACATATCTAACGAATTTCAAGAGGACGATCTGGATGCTTTATTCCTAGAAGACAAACTTGAATGAGTTGGATGATGTCTTTTTTTTGGCTTGTAGTTGAAAGCATTAAACTTGAAATATGATTTTTGTTCTTTTGCTGAACTATGTTTTTAGTTATTTTACTAGGGTCATACTTCAAAGTATTAAAAGTAATATTGTTACGTTAGACATTTTGTGTACTCTATATACTATATCTTGAATTAAAGTTTGAACTCGATTTTATTATATTACAACTTTTATGGATGTATGGTTTAAGTTATATAATCAATATTATTTTTGAATCCAATTATTATTGACTATATTATTTTGATAATAATTGCAAAATTGTATATTTTATGTGGACACTATAAAACAACAACCTATAAGCTATGGCTACACTTCAAAAACGACCTTCCTGATTCAGGTTTAAGGCAACGATTGTTAATTGTAGCCGAATTTGGCAACGCAACGCTTAAAAAACGTTGTCTCAGAGGCCGTAAATAATCGTCCCCTATTCCTTTACTATAGGCGACGTTTTTTAAAAGCGTTCCCAAAAAACATAAAAAAAACATCGCCTCAAACAATAGGCAACGCTCGCACAGGAGACGCCTAGAAAACGTCCCCTATTGTTTTAGGCAACGATTTTCAGAGTTCTGGCAACGTTTTTCAATTGTTGCTGGAGAGCCTAAATGTTGTAGTGAGTTTCTACATCCAATTCTTCAATTTTCGTCACATTCCTAGATCTATAATTTTCCAGATCTGGGATTTCGTGAACAACACAACAACAACAAAATCAACAATAGCAACATGTTCATAGCATCAATTAAATTATGAATTCCATACAAAAGTCACATAGAAATACATAAATCAAACTAATGAGACATTCATCAATTCATTCATGAAAAACCTAAAGAGGGAAAGGAACCCTCACTACTCTCTCATTTTAATATGACCATTTAGAGAACCCATTCACCCCTTTACCTTAATTTTCATATTTGATTCTTCAACAATGGAGAATTTACCCTTGCCCTAGTTCTTCCCTTCTTTTCTCTTCTTTGTTTCTACCTGACAGTAATATTCTTAATAGGTCTAACCGTCTTCTAATTGTATTTTATTATTACTAATACTAACTAATAATAATAATAATATTAATATTAATAATAATATTAATAACAATATTAATAATAATATTAATAATAACTATAATATTAATAGTAATAGTATTGCCCCTCAATTCCATTATTATCAATATTTCACCCAAAAAAATAAATCCATCTGAATAATACCAAACTAATTCAGAATCAATAAATAGTGACTAAATATTTAAATGGAACGTTACAACTCTTCCCCCACTTATAATATTTTTGTCCCCGGAAATTACCTTATGTGAACAATTCTGAATAAGACTCCCACATCTTGCTCTCTAACTCCCACATCATACTTTCTCCAGCTGCTCCTTCCCAAACTACTTTCACTAGAGGAATTTCCTTGCCTCTCAGCTTCTTTATTTCACGGTCTTCGATCCTCACTGGTAAAGTCTCTACCGTAAGATTATCCCTCACTTTAATGTCATCCGTCAAAATTACATGAGATGGATCTTAAATATATTTCTGAAGTTGCAACACATGGAACACATCATGCAAATTCTAAAGGTTAGGTGGTAAGGCCACCCTATAAGCAACAATTCCCACTTTATCCGAAATCTGATACGGGCCAATAAATCGAGGAGTAAATTTCTTTGATTTCAATATTCGCCCAACACCGGTCACTGGGGTGACTCTCAAAAAGACATGATGTCCTTCTTGAAACTCAAGGTCCTTCTTTGCTTTTCATGGTAACTTTTTCATCTACTCTACGAAGCTTTCATCTTTTTTCGAATTAACTTCAATTTTTCCGTAGTCTCTCGTACAATTTCTGGTCCGAGCATCACACTTTCACCAGATTCGTACCAACACAAAGGCGTTCTTCATCTCCGACCATACAATGCCTTAAAAGGTATCATATCAATACTAAAATAAAAACTATTGTTATAAGTGAACTCAATCAGTGGAAGTTAATTGTCCCATGTATCTCCCTGCTCAAGAACACAAGCTCTCAACAAATCCTCTAACAATTGAATAGTTGTCTCTGTCTGACCATTTGTTTGTGGGTGATACGCAGAACTCTATCTCAATTTATAACCCAACACATCCCGCAGACTCTTCTAGAAATCAGAAGTAAACCTTGGGTCTCTATCGGATACAACACTTAACGGAACACCGTGTAGCTTCACAATTACACGAATATAAATCTCTGCTAACCTTGGTACCGAAAAACTAATATCCATTGAAATAAAATGAGCTGACTTATTTAGCCTATCCACAATCACCAAAATCCCATCATATCCTCTTGGAGGGTTTGACAATCCTGTCATAAAGTCCATGGATATACTATCTCATTTCCATTCTGGAACATCTAACGGTTCCAACAACCCTGCAGGCTTCTGATGCTCGACTTTCGACTTCTGACAAGCCAAACAAACATACACAAACTGCACCACATCATGTTTCAATCCGGGCCACCAAAATAACTTCCTCAAGTCTTGATACATCTTAGTCGCACCTGGATGAATACTCAATCTACTTCTATGGCTTTCTTCCAGGATCATCTTTTTCATCTCAGAGTCGTCAGGAATACAAATTCTATTCTAGAATCTCAACACACCCTGTGCGTCTACCTTGAATTCGCCATCTTCAGAATGATTGCTTCCAACCATCAAATCTACCAATTTGACATCCAATTTTTGAGCTTCTTTAATATTATTCATGAAATCATTGTTGATCTTCAACATTCCCAACATCACACTCTGCGGTGTCACTTCACATACTAAACTCATGTCTCTGAATTGCTCGATCAACTCTAATTCCTTAACCATCATGGAATACATTTGTTATGACTTCCGACTTAAAGCATCTGTCACAACATTAGCCTTACCTGGATGATAGTTTAAGCCAAATTTGTAATCTTTCATCATTTTTAACCACCTGCGATGCCTCATATTCAATTCCTTCCAATCAAACAAATATTTTAAGCTTTTATGATCACTAAACACTTCAAATATGGAACCATAAAGGTAATGCCTCCAAATCTTTAGTACAGACACCACTGCAACTAATTCAAGATCGTGAGTAGGGTAATTCCTTTCATGAATCCTCAATTGCCTTGACGCGTAGGCCACTACTTTATCATTCTGCATGAGCACACCACCTAAACCAAATTTAGAAGCATCACAATATAAAATAAACGATTCTTCAGGATTGGGTAATATCAAAATCGGAGCTGTCGTCAATCTTTCCTTTAGCTCGGTAAAACTTTCTTCACACTGGATATCCCATACAAATGATTTTCCTTTACAAGTCAGTTGAGTCAACGGAAGTGCCAACTTAGAAAAACCTTCAATGAATCTTCTATAATAATCAACCAAACCCAAAAAGCATCTAATTTTAGTAATTGACTTTGGAGTTTCCCACTACAATATTGCATCTACCTTGGATGAGTCTACAATAATTCCACGACCAGAAATGACATGACCAAGAAAACTAAGTTTCTCTAACCAAAACTCGCACTTTGACAACTTCGCATATAACTTTTTCTCTTTTAACAATTGCAATACAATCCGTAGATGTTCAATATGATCTTCTTCTCATTTGGAATATATTAAGATATCGTCAATGAATATTACCACAAACCCATCCAAATAAGTGCGAAAGATACGATTCTTATACTCCATAAACACTCTCGGCGCATTAGTAACACCGAAGGGCATCACTGAATATTCGTAATGTCCATACCGAGTTTTGAAAGTCATCTTCTGAATGACCTCATCCTTTACTCGAATTTGGTGATATCCCAATCTTAAATCAATCTTGTTAAACACACGCGCACCCATCAATTGATCCATCAAGTCATCTATTCCTGGAAGTGGATACTTGTTTTTTATTGTCATATTATTCAACTGTCGATAATCAATTCACATTCTCATACTGCCATCTTTCTTCTTTACAAGCAACACCAGAGCTCCCCAAGTAAGTCTTCTTGTTGTCTCTTCAATTCTGCCAATTCAAATGTTGACATTCGATAGGGTACCATAGAAACAAGTTTGGTACCCAGAATAAGATCAATAGAAAACTCTACTTCTCTCTTTGGTGGCACGTCTATAATATCATCTCAGAAAACTTCAGGAAATTCACGCACCACTTGCAACTCATCAATAACAGTCTGATTCTCAATAGATAAGGACGCCATCAAAGAAAACCCCAGAGTTTCATCTTGCATTAATTCATTCAACTGTCTAGTAGATAAGAATCCATCTTCCTCTTCCTCATCAGGAGTAGAAAACTGCACAGATTTGTTGTAACAGTTAATATGAACATAATTGTATTCCAACCGGTTCATACCTAGAATTATGTCTAGACCACTCAACGGTAAACAAACTAAGTCTACAATAAAGTCTTTGTCGAATATTGACAAAGGGAACTTCGAACGTACAAGAGAAGTGGTCTCAGATCCCTTAGCTGGAGTATCGACAACCATCATCTCCTTCATAGCAGATAACACAAGACAAAACTTTTTCACATAGTCAACAATAATAAAACCATGAGTATCCCCAGTATCGATAATAGTAATTAAATGAGTACTATTAATTAAGCAAATACCTCTAATCAAATGGTCTCCCCTAGATTTCTGAGTTCCAGCTAAAGCAAAAACTTTCCCACCAATTTGAGCTTTCTTC